TGTATGCAAAGGATGGGTTCACACTGTATACAATGTATGCAAAGGTTGGATTCACACTGTATACAATGTATGCAAAGGTTGGGTTCACACTGTATACAATGTATGCAAAGGTTCACTTTACACTGTATATAATGTATGAAAAGGTTCAGTTTACACCGTATACAATGTATGCAAAGGAAAGGTTTTGCCATCCTGGTGGGCAGGACACCTTTTTATATGTTTATTTTTTATTTACTCTCTAATTTTTAGTCTGTTCTGTTATAGAAGGGGTTCATCTTCAAGCCCCTAAGCCTATTAATATTTGTCTCCTGAATGTACATTGTAAAATAATCAAGATACAACCAGTATCTTATTTTCAAAAGGCCCAGAGTCTCATTTACCAGACTAATGAACATAATATTATTCATGTTTGTAAGAAGAACGTTCTGAGGATAGATGCAATACATTATGTAACGGTTAGATCCCAGACCCTCTAGCTGCCTCTCTCCCAGAAATTAGGCACTGCCGCCCACGGTCTGTGCCTTAGGACAAAGGAGGACAGGAACTTGCTGTAACTCAAGAAAAACAGCCCCAGCATCCTCTCTGCTGCCAAGGACAAAGGCAACTTTTAAACTATGGCCCCACCTAGTGCTTGCCTCCCTGCCAAGAGTCACACAGGCTGGACCACATGGTATAAAGGCTGCCCACCCTCTCCGGAAACCTGTAAAAGTCAGAAAGCCCCTTTATGCTCTGGTTTTGAAGGCTCCAAAGTGGCTGCCTATGGCCATGACGTTCTACCTCTCCTGACATTTGGGGATTTGAAGGCTGTCTCCCCGAGGACCCCTGTCCGCTATACATGATGTCTCTCCTAATGTAAGTCCTCTTAGGATTTTGAAGGAAAGGCTCTCTCTCCCTTTAAGGCCCCCTCATGGTACTGCAGGCACGATGCTTTCCCTCTCTCCTAATGCTCGCCCACGTTAAAGCCCTCATTGCTACCATGTTCATGAGTCTCTCTCCTAACAAAGCTCTCCTGAGGGTAACCCCACATCTGGTCCTTCTCATAAACCTGCTTCTGAACTTATGACTGACTGGCAGACACAATGTGCTAAAAACTCTACTTTGAGTTTGGTTCACTTCCTTGGTTTTCTGCACATGTTACTGTTACCAACAGCATGTGACAGTTTTCAGCACCCTGAATCTATTTGGGAGCTTACTTTTCCTGCCTTCTCAGCGGTTGACAGGGGTTAGCCCATCTCCCCTAGTGTAACAACACCAGGAGCCAGTGCTCCTCTCTCCAGCCTCACCGGGACAGTTCAGTTCTTCCACCTGCCATTGTTCCAGCGGTTTTACTCCCGTGGCAGTCCGGAACTTGTCTGTTTAAACACTTGGCCCTCCTCCAGTCTGTGCTGACAGTTTCATATGTTTGAAGCGGTGCGCTCTCCTGCTGTGTTCTGGGTACTTGTTGGATATTGGAGAGGCTGTGTGTAGACCCTCACTAGAAAGGGATTAGCATTTTTAAAGGACAAAAATATTTCAGAAAAGACTGTTAGCTTCATTATCCTGTGTCTTTTCTTTTGATTTTTAAAAACTCTGCAGCTTAGCTTTTTGTCAGTCTTTTAGAAGGGGGCAACAGACTCCTCATCCCTTTTGCACCAGTATCCTTGAAAAGAAATGTCTCGGGTAACTAGGAACACCTTAGGGAAAGAAAGCCAGAACTTCCCCACAAAACCTGACTTTATACTGGCTATTTAAAGTCTTTAAAGTTGTTTATTATTATTATTATTATTATTATTATTATTATTATTATTAGTGTGTGTATGTGTGTATACAGACAACTTCTGAGAGTCATTTTTTTCCTCCTCCATGGTGAGTTCCAGGGATCAGACTCAGGTCATCAAGATGTCTTTTTCCTCCATAAAACATTTAGAATTTTGACCTATTAAATGATTTAGAAATATAACTGTGCTCTGGTCTTGGCTTCTCATTTCAAAGTGTTTATAATTTTGCAGATTCCAGTTCAGATTTCAAGGTAAATAATTAACTACTTTCTTAAGTTTCTATTTTGTCAAAATTATATAAATATTATCACTTAAGAATGTCACCTGATTCTTTTTTAATTTTGGTCTTTATATAAACCTTAAAATAAGCCAGGCAGTGGTGGCACATGCCTTTAATCCCAGCACTCAGGAGGCAGAGGCAGGTGAATCTCTGCAAGTTTGAGGCCAGCCTGGTTTATACAGTGAGTTCCAGGACACTCAGGACTACACAGAGAAACCCTGTCTCAAAAAACCTTAAAAAAAAAAAAAAAAAAAAAAAAACTCTTAAAAGACTTATAAGTCTAAAACTAAAAATTCAAAATATAAGGGACACATGCTGAGAACACATTTAGAATTGTGGCTCTTCTTTCTTAGTTACCTACTATTTCTCAAACAGTTGGAGAGTCAGGAGGACGCTGGGAAGGGAGACTGATCAGCTGCTTTGCCCTTAAGATGTACAGCGGGTAGATGTGGGTGGTTGTTTCAGAAAATAACATATGTACATTGGACATTTGTCTACCTGAGACCTGGAAAGCTGTACGGTAGTCTGCAGTCATAAATACTTTCTCAAACTTTAAAACTTAAACATCATTTAGTTGATGCTGTTGAGTCTTCCTGTATTTTTTCAAATAACTTGGTCTGTTTTTACCTCAGGTATAGACCAAGGCTAAGAATACAAGAGAGAAACTGGTATCCACAACCTAATTATAAAAATCTAGGCCAAGTGCTGGTGGTGCACGCCTGTAATCCCAGCACTCGGGAGGCAGAGACAGGCGGATCTCTGTGAGTTCGAGGCTAGCCTGGTCTACAGAGCTAGTCCAGGACAGGCTCCAAAGCTACAGAGAAACACTGTCTTGAAAAACCAAAAAAAAAAAAAATCTAGTTTGCAAATTGATGAAATAAGATTCACCTATTTTCAAAAGTCTTAATATTCTAATATTAAGACACTAATATAAAATGATTTATGTATTTAATTGTGTCTAAAACAAGACTTTCTTCAGGATATTTTCTGCTTTTAGTGCCATTTTCACAACAGATCAAAAACCACAAGATTGTTGTTGTTGTTGTTGTTGTTGTTGTTATTGTTTTCAAGACAGGGTTTCTCTGTGCCATTTTGGTGCCTGTCCTGGATCTCACTCTATAGACCAGGCTGGCCTCGAACTCACAGAGATTTGTCTGGCTCTGCCTCCCGAGTGCTGAGATTAAAGGTGTGTGCCTACCACCACCACCACCACCACCACCACCACCACCACCACCACCACCACCACCCAGCAAACCACAAGATTTTATGTTTTATTAAAATCATTCATGTTTTCTGATATTTATGTTTCAGGCTTTTGGCTACTTATGAAATTGCTTTAACAAACTCAAAGTTCATATAAGCATCTCTGTTAGATTAATAACTGCTTTGCAAGCAATTATCTTAACATAATACCTAGGCTGGAAAGACAGTTCAATGGGTAAAGGCGCGTCAGCCAACCTGAGTTCAATCCCTGGGATTGACATGGTGGAAGGAGAGAACCAATTCTTGAAAAGTGTCCTCTGACCTCCACATATACTTTGTGTGTGTGCACGCACACACACACTGACACACATGTGCCATGGCACATGTATACATGCATACACACAAATAAACAATCAGGACAAATCTTAGCAACTGGGGACAGCAAAGGACAGACCACCAGACAGTTCATCAATTGTGTCTTCAGGGAATATTGTTCAGAGACACAGGAGAAGTTGTCAGAATGGCAATGACATCATATTGGGATCGTAGTACCTGCCTGTGACCCCAGTACTTGGGAACCTGGCCCCAGCTGAACTTCTGGGAATCCAGTGAAGACAGCCCTGCTGCCCCATTGAGTCTGCACCCCAAGAAGACCAGAATGTGAAAAAAGTGGACCTGGGCAAGCCAAGGTAGAGTGCTGTCAACAGGCCCTCATCCTGCCCTGCCAGCACACACTTTTTCTCAGGTATAAGGGGATTTCTTTTAGTTGACAGATTTTTAAACCCACGTAAAAGTAGGAAGAACCAACCTCCAAGTACTGGCATCAAAATCCCAGATCATTTTGTATTTGTTGACATCATGGAGTCCAGAACATGTCCTCACTCCTCCTTCATCATTGCATTTCATAATAAGGGCACTTCCTATATCTCCAACAATTCATTATCACAAAGAACATTTTGAGCAGTAAAATTGGCATAGGGACTGTTCAGGAATGGAATGAAGGAGTCAAAGATGTACCGGCCCCTAGGAAGGACAAGAGGAGCCCAAGAACTTTGTTGTAGGTGGGTTGAGTCAAGTGGGAGAAATGAGGCCAAAACTCAGAACACAAGACAAAGACCCACCCTGGGTGGCTTGTGCTGTGGCTGCTCCCAGGAATGGCCCTGTGGCTGCGACCCGCTGGGATACGTGTCCATGAGAAGAATCCTAAAGATCCTGAAAGCACAGGGTGATCCAAGCAGGCAGAAGGCAGGGGTTGCTCACCTGTGGCCTGGCCAAGGGGCTGTGGACAGGAGGAAATAAGCCACCTGCAACGCTCTGACCTGAGCTAGATCTGCCACGATGCTGAGAAAGGAGAAACATCCACAAAACTGTGAGCCACAAGAAACATTTGGAATAGTGGCCTGGTCCATGCCTGCCCAACAGCCATGGTCACCACTCACCATTGCCAGCCTGCCACCAACCTCAGGGCTGAGTTGCTGGCCCTGCTTCAACCTAGTCCCCACCCCACATGCTCCAAGTATATTCTCCTGTAGGAGAGCATGATCAAGGAGACCATTAAGACAGGATGGGTCCTTGGTGGCCCTCAGGGCTCATACTTTGGAAGCAGGTCAGAAATTCCCAATGAGCTGGTTGCTGGTTGCTGGTTGCTGAATGGCCATGACGATAAAGCCTGCTCATTACCCTCACAGAGACAGTCCTGGAAATGCTGACACTGTTTCATTGGCTATGTGAGGACCCAGGCCCTGGTCCATTAGGCTTAGCTTTCCTGCCCTTTTAAAGAACAGAAGGACATGAGTGTGGGCCTTATAACTGAATGGCTAGAGGGGACCATCTATACCAGCTGAGGACATGTCCTCTAGAGTGCCAAGCTGCCTCCTGTCCTGCACATTGTGTATGCTTTCAAGCCCAATACATCCTCAGGCACCCAATGTTTCCCAGGAGCAGTTCTGTTGTGGCAATCGGTAGCCACTGGGCATGCGCCCTTGGAGCTCAACAGTCAAGTTCATGCTGGGTCAAAGGGAAGAATCTGGAAACTACTCACAGCCACCAAAGCACTGGCCAGGCTCAGGCTCAGGTGCATATACATATACAGCTCAACCTCCTCCACACACAGCTAGGAAGCCATGTGCCAGATACTGGGTGTGACCTCTGCCCTCAAGAGGTCTCCTCTCTGTGGGGCACAGATTCTACATTCTAATGCTGGAGATGTCACTGTCCAGAACAAGTTACTGAGAGAAAGTCGTGGTGGGGAATTAGGGAGGGCAACCTTCACACTGAGACCTAAAAACAGGAGACTTTTTTGTTTTTCCAAGACAGGTTTTGGGGTTTTGGGGGGTTTGTTTGGTTGGTTGGTTGGTTGGTTGGTTGGTTGGTTGGTTGGTTGGTTTTGGTTTTCTCTGTAGCCCTGGTTGTCCCGGAACTTGCTCTGTAGACCAGACTGGCCTTGAACTCAGAGATCCGCCTGCCCCTGCCTGTTGGGATTAAAGGCACCACCACCTGCTGAGAAGGAGACTTCTTAAATGACAGAAGGGATTTGGGGGATAGAAAACTCAGGTGCAAAGGTCCTGGCGCAGCCTGCCCATCTCCTGTGCAGTGTCACGGCTCTGGCTGTGTGCCATGAGCCAAGCTCCTGCTGGAAGGCCTGTCTAAAGGCCACACCCCTGCTTGACGCTTCTTCCCCTCACCCCCAGTGTGGGCTATGGCGAGGAAAGGGGGTCATCTTAGCACACGGCCAGCTCCACTCTGCCTGCAGCTCTCCTCCTATCCGAATTCTTAACCCCTGTCTTTGTTCTCCTCCTGTAACCTCATGAGCATCTCCCAGCAATCTTGTCTTGCATGCTCCTATCAGAATGGCCTATTAAACTCGGCTTATAGCTTTGCTTTGCTTTCTTTCTATCTTCTCTCTCTCTCTCTCTCTCTCTCTCTCTCTCTCTCTCTCTCTCTCTCTCTCTCTCTCTCTCTCTGTCTTGTTTTTCAAGACAGGGTTTCTCTGTGTAGCCCTGGCTATCCTGGAACTCACTCTGTAGACCAGGCTGGCCTCAAACTCACAGAGGCCTGCCTCTGCCTCCCAAGAGCTGGGATCAAAGGCATGCGAGCCTGCACCACCATCTCTGGCTACTTGTAGCTTTTCAAGGTCATTATTAGCCCAAAGTTCCAAGCTCTTCCACAATCCTCCCACAAATCAGTTCCAAAGGCCTAAGGACCACACCGCCAGATTTATGACAGCAATTACCCCACTTCTCAGTACCAGTTTTCTGTATCAGTCCCTTTCTTCACTACTGGGATAAAATGCTTGACAAAGGTACTTCAAGGAAGAGCTTATTCTGGGCCTCAGTTTGAGGGCACAGTCCACTATGACAAGCAAGTCTTGATGGCAGGAGCTGGAGTCCCCTGGTCACATTGCACCCGTCAGGAAGCAGACAGATGTGAGTGCTTATGTTCCCTTTCTCTCTTTAATTAAGTTCAGGATCCCAGCCCATGGGATGATGCTGCCCGCACTCAGGATGGATCAACAAGAAACTCCCTCACAGACACCTTCACAGAGATGCCTGGAGGTTTGTTTTCTACGTCCCATCAAGTTGGCAGTCAAGATTCATCACCACAGTATGCTGCACTGGTGTTGCTGTGGGTTTATGGACTGGCAGAGTGGCGGCAGGGCCTCTTTGGCAGCAGGCTGGGAGCTCTTGGACCTCAAGATGCCCAAGCCCTGTGCAAATGTCCAGAAGTAGGATGAGCAGTTCTGGCCTCCTGCAGTGGACTCTGTCCAAGCCATGATCCCAACCTTCTGCAGTGACAAGCACATTTTTTTTTTTTTTTTTTTTTTTTTGGTTTTTCGAGACAGGGTTTCTCTGTGTAGCTTTGCGCCTTTCCTGGAACTCACTTGGTAGCCCAGGCTGGCCTCGAACTCACAGAGATCCGCCTGGCTCTGCCTCCCGAGTGCTGGGATTAAAGGCGTGCGCCACCACCGCCCGGCGACAAGCACATTTTTAAAACAACCTCTCATTCTAGAATACTTTGAGATCTCTAAAATACACCAGAAACAGTGAGGACTACTACTCCCATGCCTCCGCTAGCTCCCTGCAACCACCACCTCACATAGACATAAGCCAGAGGTCACAACTACAGCAGAGGCATGCTGTCCAGACTCGGGCAAAAGCAGTACTCTTTGACTGGAGGTGAGGGTTCCTTAGCTTCGAGGTACAGCAGATTGGAGAAGCCTCATAGCTACCATGTCCACGTGCCCAACTACTGCCTGCACATCCACGGCACGCTCGCAGGACCACCTGGTGCCTATGTAGCCACCCCATGCTGTGGTCCTCCCCCTAGAGACAGCGCACTCCTCTGGGTGGGGGGTGCTGTGAGCATGGGGAGGTATGTACCCTGGCTGCCAGCCATGAGGAACAGAAAAAGTCAGCCTGTTCACAGAAACCCAATCTCCACACCACTTCACAGAGTGGTGTGACTGTCCCTGAAAGCCGTGTCTGACAGCTGGAGGCTGGCAGCCGCTGGGCACAGGAACTCACTCTCCTCACTGGGTACAGTCTAAATTCTACATATCATGTTCTGTGCTAGTTAGTAACCCCACTACCAACACACACACACACACACACACACACACACACACACACACACACACACCAAAATGTTTCAGAAGACAAGGATGCTCAAGGATGTCACCCTGGGGAGTGGGGGACACACAATGTAACAGAACAGCACGCTCTTTGCCTATTCACAGCCTGCTGCAGCTCAGGCTCCCTGGGGGATGATCTGGCATGGGTCTGCTGTACCACTCATCAAGTCAGGGCTAAGCAGCCCCATAATGCTTTGCAAATACACAGCTAGGACAGAGTTTGGAGGCCCCTGTGACCCTCAGATTGCAAAGCCACACTGAAGCAGTCTAAGTTAGAACACAGGGTCTCCATCCTTCAGAAACACAGTCCCCTCCCTGTAGCTGTCGCTGTCACACATCAATTCCATGTCTCCTGGGGACCCATCATAGGCCTGCCTATGGGGCCCATGAGTGGCATGAGGCAGCTCCCATGAGCACTGTTCACAGTAGTAAAAGTTGGAGCAAGTCAAACAGTGAGGGAATAAGGCAAGAATTAGAGGGCATCTTTGGGGCAGAATATTGACTGGGCAGCTGTGGAAAAGAACACGAGGCTCTACAGATACCGAGTGAACCCCAAAACCCACCGAGAGCCACAGGGCTGCTGGGGGCGGGGCGCATCACACCCAACACTCCAGCACACTCCAGGGTGTGTGCAGGAAAAGGCACAGAATGACACATGGGGCTGCCACATCAAGAGGGAGGTCTGAGCTGGGTGTAGCAGTGCACGCCTTTAATCCCAGCACTGGGAGGCAGAGGCAGGCGGATCACTGAGTTTGAGGCCAGCCTGGTCTACAGAGTGAGTTCCAGGACAGCCGGGACTACACAGAGAAAGCCTGTGTCAAAAATAAATAAATAAATGGTAGTTCTTTTTGTGCCCTGAGACACCTCATGCAGATGAAACCTAAGAAGGATCCCCAGGAAATGGCAACAGGGCACAGGGGGGAGATTCAAGGAGACACGCTCACCTATGCCTTATGGCACTGCTGGGAGTTCTATCACACACAGATATTGCCTGCTTTAAAACTCAAATGAGTTACTGTGGAAAGACTCAACACCACGAACTACTCCTGACAGTGACTGGCAGATGGCCACCTAAGGTGCCAGCAGCAGCTCCGGGAGCGGTATGTGAGGGCTGCCACATGTCTTTGTGCTCTCAGTCCTGCCAAGGGTACCAGTGAGGGTGAGCATGCTGTAGGGACAGCGGGTCCTGTCTCAGATCCTGTTGCTTTTGCTTCTCTGTGTTCTAACAACCAATCACCTGGAGGCGAGAGGTGTGGTACAAAGCCCTGGGCAGGAGGGGAGCAGGGCACCAGGCCCTTGTGCAGTGGGATGAGGGCGGGGTCGGAAGAGCGGCGGCGCACAACAGGCTTCTGAAGAACATGGCGGCAGGCGCCCCAACACAGCTGGGTCCAGTGGCACCTGGCTAGTACCTGGGGACTGCTGGGGACTGCTGGGGACCTTCTACCACTGCAACATGGGAGGACTGAGGAGGGGAGGGAGCCTGGGTGACCCAGGAAGACTGCCAGCAAGGAGACAGAGAGGACAAAATATCCTGGGAGTTCACTAAAAGCTGGGCGTTCTCGGATGTGAAACAGGCCCCTGTGTGGAAGCTCTGGCTGACAAGTGACCTCATTTGCTGCTCAGACTTCTTGTCCTTTTTATCTGTTAACAATGAATTTACCCCAAAGGGCTACATTAATCACTCCAGATACCTTGTCTCCACGCTCTGCCA